AATTATAAGTAGAGCCGGATATGAATTTCAAGAATTGTACATCTGTATATGTAGACAAATTAACGAGACTAAGGAAAAGTTTTGCAGCGAAAGATCCAATCAATTTATTCAAAATGTATATACAACCACCCGAAAAATACTTTAAAGAGAATCCAACAGAAATATCATTAAATCCATTACCAAGTCATATAAAGGATGTTAATGTTTGTCTCAATTATCTTAATATTTGGGATCAACACTTTAATCATTGTGAAAAAGTGATTAACGATCAACAATATAAAAGAATTGAACTCATATATTCTTTATCCGAATTGTTTTTCATTTTACTTGCTCTTTGTTCACAAGAACAACAGGAAGAGTCAAGCAAAAAAACTACGAAGCATTGGAAAGGGAATAATATAAAAACACGAATGTATGAGAAATTAGGAAATAAGAATAAACGTGGTATTCTAATGAAATGGACAGCTTGTTAGAGAATCCATCATATCCTTTGGGTGACCAATATAATGCCAAGGGAACTCATAAATGTTGATTTAAATGCAACATATTTTCTAATGAAGAATATAATTTTTTAATCAAGGAATTAATTGGAAATAAAGAATTCTCTGATTTCATTAATCCTAAAGGTGAAAATATATTAGACTTAGTTGATTTTGCAAAGAACATTTATTCAGTTTAGTTTTACAAAGAAAATTTAATCAGTTTAGATTTATTAATTTATAGTCAAATTTAAATTTTGTACTCTGAATTGTAAATTTTTTTTTGCTCAAAAATAAAATCGAATTTGATAATATGCTATTTCAAGATGATATAGTATTCCATAAGTTTGATATCTGTTTTAATTATTATTTTAATAAATAATTTCATTCTCCGACGGCATCAAGTTGCCGTCGGAGATGAAATGAGTTTAAGATGTGCTAACATTTTAATGAATTGTATAATACTGTATAACAGTCATTTGACCGATGTTTATTCTAAATTTTTTTAAAGTGATTTTTATAGAATTATTATAATTTCACCGAAAATAGAATTATTTGTCACAGAAATTAGAATTTAATATTGCATTATTAAACTATTGTAAATTTTGTTTAAAGCGTTACATGATTTAACGGTTTAACGGGTCCATGAAGTCATTTAATTTTTGGAGTTTCAAAGTTAACTCAATCGTGAAATAAAAGTTGAGCGTGAGGAACGATTTAATATTTTATTTCTCAATTATTTTTGTTGAGATGGTAAGTATGATTTTGGTACTGTAATCATAATACTGTAATAGATAATTTCGAATACGTATGCAGGTTTAAAAAATATATAACTAATGTAGTGTTGATTCTACTAATATTTTATTCACGCAGTTGGTGGCAGTCAATCATTAAGATTCTTAACGATCTGCTTA